CGCAAAGGCCAGTTGAAGGATGAGAAATTAAAGGAGATAGCGGGAAATATAATGATTGGCTAGGCACCCGGCTTCTGTATGGATGACAACGGTACTTTATGGTTTGGTAAGATGCTATGAGTGCCTGAGATCAAGGCTATTAGAGATGCAATTCTACATGAAGCTCATGAGTCAGCTTATTTTATACATCCTGGGAGTACTAAGATGTATTTGGATCTTAAAGAAAAATTTCGATGGTACGGATTAAAGAGAGATGTGGCAGAGTATATGGCTTTGTGTGACACCGCCGCAGCCTAGCTTGCTGCCGCTGAGTTCGCTTCGCCGTTCCCATCGCTCTGTCGCCAACTTCGTTCATCACCGAGCTCTGTATCAAGGTTGAGAAGCCGCCCTCACCCTTGTTCCTCGCTCGTTGGCTTTCTATCGCTCACACGCCTTCGTCGAAATTGCAGGAACCTATGCGTCCGCCCCATCGAGCCGCTCGCCATCTCCGCTTCGTCTTCGTTCGAGAAATCTCCCTTGGTGAGCTCGCCATGACCTCCGCTCTGTTCCCGTGTTTTCCCCGCGACGAATCGTGGCCTGCAGGCCCAAGTTCCGTGCTCGTCGACGAGAAGCTCACCGCTGGCAATGGCTGGCTGCGTGCGTCTCCTGTTCCGTACGACGTACAACCACCCTCTCTCTCTTATACTCTCTCCTGGAATTTCATCCGTTCAGATCGAGATCAAGGCCCCGTTCGCTTTGCTGAAAAAACAAGCCAAAATACTATTCTGGCTTATTTGTTGTGAGAGAAAAACACTGTTCCGGCTGAGAAAATAAGCTAAAAAAGACGGATTATAAGAGAAGCGAACAGGGCCCAATGGTCGAGATTAGAAGATACCCCTTCTTAGCTATTTTGTTAAAGAGACCCTCCTTTTTCTATATTTATGCCCCCCTGTCCCTAGTTCAGTTCAAAATCCTGATTTTGATTTATTTTTAATTCGAATTAAGTTCAGTTTAATTACGGTTCTACCATTAGAAGCTTATAAATGTCATACCTTCTACGTTTTAAATCTGATTTCGGTGATTCTCGCGTTTGTGTGTTCGTAGCATCGTGTAGAATGATTTTATAAACTTTTCACCTTGTTTTTTCTACCGTTGGTGTACTATTGTAATTGTGACTCTTGTTTGTTATGCATGATTGCTCTGAATGTTTGTGTGTTGCTGAATTGATGATCGAGTATAGACGGTGTGCAATACGACGGTGAGCAAGGCCAATTCTTTGATGACCAGTAGGACCAGCAGGAGTACTTTGAGCAAGCCAAGTATAGCATGGGATCATCCTTATTGTCCTATTCACATTAATCATATTTTAATCATACTGCATGTGTCCTCCTTGATTTACCATTAAGGATTTCCTAGTTTTGTACCGTACCTTGACACCTATGGGATTATTGCATTGGGTAGTGATGCTAGTGCTCAATTATAGACCATGATCTTGTAACTTGACTAATGATATATGCAATAAACATTAAAAGATGCTTTTTAGGAACAAGGTGCTAGAGCATAGTTTTTGCGATGCTCTAGATTCCTCTCATTAAGGACTTATCTGTAAGCGATCATCCGGGACCTACAGTACAACCATGAGAGCTACTTGGCTTTGGCTTTAGTTCAGTATGAAGACCTTTTCTAGCTTGTCAGTGGTTATCTGAAAGGGCGCAAAAGGGGCTTGTCGAGCTGAGTATAGTGCGGCCTCTGTCCTTATGTGTATAGCCTACGTGGAATGTGCCATTCGGAAGGGGGCTCTATATTCCCTTGCCAATTGGAAACCTAGCAGCCCTAACTTGTTAGATGAACTTCTAAAAGACTTTATAGTGTACCCTGCCCGCTCATCTTGGAAGTGTTATGGGAGTCATGACCCTAGGCAAATGGGAATCACGACTCACGGTGAAAGTGTACAACCTCTATGGAGTGTAAAACTGGTATATCACTCATGTTCATGGTCACGAGCAGCCTTGGACCCTTATGGAATAGATGATCACTAATGATAATTATGTTTATGCTATTCATTATTCATGTTTACCGATCATGTGTTTATTTGGATTTATGTTAAACTTGCTGCTACTCAATTGCTTAAAATTGTGACTCAATAAAAGCTAAATGCAGTTAAACCAGTATCTATCTTTTTGAGCCTCATGAACCCCGTGTTATTCTTGTTGAGTACGAGATGTACTTACGCTTGTTTATTTTTATTACTTGGATAAAAATCCCGGATGGGTAACAGATGACAAAGGTTATGAGGATTTTCCTGAGAATTACTAGACATGTGATCAAACAGTCGATCATCCCTGTGGATATGGAGGCGTCAAGGAGTTATCTTTATTTATTTCCGCTTGCTAGACTTTGATATATTTATGTAATGGATTAAATACTCGTGATGTAATAAAGCATTGTGCTTGTTATTCTTCTTTAATTTGTGGAGTCTCCCTGTGTGGAGTCTGACGGTGAGTCCGAAGCTGAGTCCGACGACGATGTTTTCAGCCTGTCAGTGACCGTTTGCGCGGCAACGGTCAATTCCGTTTGAACGCGGTTACATGGCAGCGTGTGGTTGGCCGTCGAAGGCGTTGAACCCAGGCGTCAGATGGTCCGATGCCCTATGTCTGTGGGTCCGATGATCACTTAAGTGGTCTAACGGTCATGAGCTCTTGGGCGTGTCTATTTAAGCAAAAGGGCTGGCCTTGGGCGCCCTCTCTTGGTACTTTGACGTACTTCTCATCCTTTAGAGTTGAGCTACTCCTCTCCATCCACTCCTACTTGATTGATTCATCATTTGGTGAGATTAGAGAGCATACAAGTACATTGCTTTGAGTGATTGCATCTAGAGGCACTTGGTGATTGTGTTTCGCTGTGGATTTCGCTTGTTACTCTTGGTGGTTGCCGCCAACTAGACGGCTTGGTGCAGTAAGGATCGTCGAGCGGAGGAAGGTGATTGTCTCCGGCTCCAATCATGGTGATTGTGAGGGGTTCTTGATCTTTCCCCGGAGGAGAGCCAAAAGGTACTCTAGTGGATTGCTCGTAGCTTGTGGATCCCCATCTTGTGTTGGTTGTGCAGCACCCGATTGCGGGTTAGACGTGTGATGCCTATTAGCGCGTGAACCTCCAAGTGGGTGAATCGCTACAACGGGGATCAGCTTGCCGGCAAGCAAGTGAACCTCGGTGAAAAATCATTGTGTCATCTTGTCTTCGATGATTTCATTGGTATTCATTGTAATCGATTCATCATCTCTTGCCATGGCGGTATAACTCACTACCTCTCTTGTGTTTTTACTTTCTTAGTGTAGATAAGCTCTTTAGTGTAATTAGTTTTGAGAGCTAGCTTGTGTCTTGTCTAGTGGTTAGTGAGGCTCTTTAGTTAGTCTTTGAGAGCTCACTAACTTAGAGAGTAGTGACTTGGCCTCTTGTGTGAATTAGAGATCATAGTACCTAGAATCGTGGATAGGAGGCTTGCTTTTTAGTAGGCTAGCGCAACACTCGCTTCGCCGTTTAATTGGCTAACCACTTGGATTAAGTGTTGTTGTAGAAATTTTTAATAGGCTATTCACCCCTCTCTAGCCATTAGGACCATTCACCACCGCCCAGATCCACCGCCATCGGGGGCCGCACCACCTAGCTCCTATCCGAGCTGCTGTTGGGGGACCCCAGCACACTTGGATCCACCCAGCGTCGATGCCTGGATCTGCGCTTTGGTGCTCCGTGGTGTCGGATCCGCTGCCAGTAAAGTGGCCCGACGCCCCGAAGAGAGAGAAGGAGAGGGAAGGACGCGCTGCCGCTTCGCTCGTTCACAGGGAGAAAGGCGCATCAGAAAGAGAGGAGCAAAGACGGCGAGGGAGAGAAAGGAGAGGAGAGTGGAGTGTTTAGGGTTTCGATTTCATTTATATAATAAAGATGGTAGTGGGATGGTGTGGGCTAGCGAGCTAGGCTCGATTTTTGAGGCGGACACCTTATAACCGTCCCGCCTCTATAAATGATTTACCGAGGAGATTGCGTTAGGATGCCCGTCTCGGTCGATATTAACCAAGACGGGCGCTTAAGGTTGCCTGCCTCCATTAATGATTAATGGAGGCGGTTGTGTTAGAATGTCCATCTCGGTTAATCAATATTAATCGAGACGGGCGCTTAAGGTTGTCCACCTCCATTAATGATTAACTGAGGCGGGCACTAGACCGGCTGCCCTGCCACCGAATAACGGAGGCGGGCAACCAACCCTCCCGCCTCGGAGCTCCAAAGCCAAACGCTGCGTGAAAGTTTTTCTATAGTAGTGACCGCCAACCGGTTATTAGGCCCCGCCTGCTCGGTCGCCACCGCCTGTATGGTCGCCCGCCATGGGCCCCTCCCTTTCTAAGGCTGGCAGGTATTGGTGGTGGCGGGCGGCCCGCGGCGGCACATTCGAAGGTGGCGTTGGGAGGAACGGACAGCCGACTAGTATCATATGCTAAGTTTTTACACCTTTCCGATGTTTACGAAGCCGCCTGGTTTGCACTTACATGTCTGGTTTTTCAGGGCTCAAAAGGAACAAGTATGTAGAACCGCCTGTCGCCGTCAAAGGCACTTGCTAGCCTGTACGTGCCCAAGGAAAACAAAAACTGCTGAATACTTCCATGTTCAGAGGGCAAAAGTTTCGGAATATTGTCGAAGCCCAAGCAGAGAAGACCTCCCACTGCAATTCACTGTAGCGCTTCTGTTCCCTAGAGCTGATTTCCTCCCTTCCCTCTCCCTCTCGAGAGCTAGTGAAGCTAAAAATTTTGGCTCCAGCAGCTCCTTGCGTGTCAGTTAGAAGAGGAGAGAGAAAGGCTTTCGTCTACAGTGGGTCTACAGTGTAGTGTCAGTAGGAGCCGGATCCAGCGGAATCCATACCAAACGGGACTATCTGGCAATTCCAATATTCCATAGAGTACGCAGGCAGGCTAAGTACGCTATAAATTCGATGCATGGAAACACACACAAGAACCTCAGGACAAAAGGCAGCCATGGAAAGCTTCAAGCTCTCCTCGCTGACCCTTGTGTTGACGTTCCTTCTCCTTGCTGCCGTTGCCGTGGTCGCCGGCGATGAGCTCACCACGTTCATCGTCCATGTGCAGCCCCAGAAGAACCAGATGCTCGCTACCGCCGACGACCGGAACACGTGGTACAGGTCGCTCCTCCCGGAGGACGGCCGGCTCCGCGGCTCGTCCACGCGTACCACCACGTCGCCAGCGGCATCGTGGCCTAGTAGCGTGAGTCAATGTTGAGTCGAGTCAAGTTTGTGTGTCGTGTGAACTTTAATGCTTAGTTGATTGTGCTTACGTGTGATTTGGAATTTTGTAATGAGGTCGACGCTCTGTCGTCGACGCCCAGGTTCGTGACGGCGGTCCCGGACCAGATGTACGAGCTGCACACGACGCACACGCCTCAGTTCCTCGGGCTGGGCGCCCGGGAGGCCAAGAGGTCCTACCCCGTTGCCGAACACGGCGCTGGGGTCATCATCGGCGTGCTCGACACCGGCATCGTACCGTCGCACCCCTCCTTCAGCGATGACGGCATGCCGCCGCCGCCGGCCAGGTGGAATGGGTGCTGCGACTTCAATGGCCGCGCGGTGCGCAACAACAAGCTCATCGGCGCCCGCTCTTTCGTGCCCAGCCCTAACGCCACGACCAACTCCACTTCCGATGACTGGCGGGCGCCGCCGGTCGAGGACGAAGGGCACGGCACGCACACTGCCAGCACGGCCGCGGGAGCCGCCGTGCCAGGCGCTCAGGCTCTTGGCCAGGCCATGGGTACCGCCACCGGGATAGCGCCCCGCGCGCACGTCGCGATGTACAAGGTCTGCAACAAGACGGGATGCCCGGGTTCTGCCATCCTCGCCGCTGTGGACGCCGCCGTGGGTGACGGCTGCGACATCATCTCCATGTCCCTCGGTGGATCTTCGACGCCGTTCTACCAGGACAGCGTCGCCATCGCGACGTTCGGCGCGATCGAGAAGGGAGTCTCCGTTACCATGTCGGCCGGCAACTCTGGCCCGAACGTCAGCTCTGTGACAAACGAGGCGCCGTGGATGCTCACCGTCGCTGCAGCACGATGGACCGCTCCATTCGTTCGACGGTCCGCCTGGGGAACGGCTTCGTCTTCCACGGCGAGTCGCTCTACCAGCCACAGGCTTGGAACTCCACCTTCTACCCGTTGGTCTACGCTGGCGCGAGCGGGAAGCCGTACGCCGAGCTCTGCGGCAACGGCTCGCTGGACGGCATGGACGTCAGGGGCAAGATCGTGCTCTGCGAACTGGGGGGCGGGCCGGGACACAACATCACGAGGATACTGAAAGGCGCGGTGGTCCAAAGCGCCGGCGGCGCCGGCATGATACTGCTCAACACATTTCCTCAAGGCTACAACACGCTCGCCGACGCACACGTCCTGCCGGCGTTGCACGTCGACTACGCCGCCGCTTCAGCCATCAAGTCCTACGTCAATTCCACGTCGAACGCCACGGCGCAGATCATCTTTGAGGGTACAATCCTCGGCACGCCACCTGCTCCATCCATCGCCGCCTTCTCCTCTCGTGGGCCTAGCATTGAGAACCCCGGCATTCTGAAGCCCGACATCATGGGCCCCGGCGTCAACGTGCTCGCCGCATGGCCGTTCCAGGTTGGCCCGCCGTCGGCACCTGTTCTCCCTGGACCGACCTTCAACGTCATCTCCGGCACGTGGCCGTCGGCGCCTCACCTCAGCGGCGTCGTGGCGCTCGTCAAGAGCAAGCACCCTCACTGGTCACCTGCCGCTATCAAGTCGGCCATCATGACCACCGCGGATGCCACCGACCGTGCCGGCAATCCCATCCTCAACGAACAGCGTGTGCCGGCGGGACCCTGAGAAGGCCGCGGACCCCGGCCTGGTCTACGATATCGCGGCCAGCGACTACATCGGCTACCTCTGCGGCCTGTACGACAGCCAGAACGTGTCGGTGATCGCGAGAAGGCCGGTCGACTGCTCGGCCGTCACGGTGATCCCGGAGAGCATGCTGAATTACCCGTCCATCTCTGTCGCGTTCCAGCAGACGTGGAATCGGAGCACGCCCGCGGTCGTTGAGCGCACGGTGAAGAACGTCGGGGAGGTGCCGTCGGTGTACTACGCGGCGGTTGACATATTTGACGACGACGCGACTGTGAGACCCCCCTAAAATGGGCAAGTTAGGCCGGTCTGATGGGCTGGGCCGAATGGCACTGTAGCTCCGGTTTCCAAGTACTGTAGCAGTGGAGCACTGTATCTGCAGGACTTTAGTCCCCTGCCGGAACCCGAGGAGAAACTGAACCAACTTAAAAGACTGAGCCTGGGAGAGAATTAACTCTGGTTCGAACTTTTTACGTGAAGTGAAGATAAAAACGTAAGAGAGTTAATTAACAGGTGTGGTCCATTCAATGTGTAGAGTGGATCTTAGCCGTCTTGAACTATAAACTGTACCTAAGTTAGATGGTTTTATTATTTTTAATTAAATTTTATTTTTAATTAAAAATTTTCTATGAACGCCTAATGAAGTTTTTAAATCACGAAAAATATTTTTAAGTTTCTAAAGTTCCGAGAAAAATCATATAGGTAGGCAGGGTCATGTAAATAAACTCAAATAAAATATTTGTAATTCATAAAAATATATCTAGAAGCTTCAAAAAATAGATTTAGCTTTAAGAAAATAGAAAGAAGTCCAAAAAGTATGGACACTTATACCTAACTGAGCCTCTAAGCCCATAATAGGTGCAGCTCAAGAAGAAGCCCACCTAGCTATTGAAAACACTTAGAGCTCCTTTGGAGCGCATGATTGAAAGAATATAGGAATAGAAAAAAATACAGGAATATGATAGGATTGCATATGCAAAACAGAGAATTGTAAAACAAAAGAAAGTCATAGGAATTGATGTTTGGATGGTTCATAGGAAAAACACAAGAATGAAAAACATGAGCTTGTAGTGGATGTTTTGGATCCTACAAAATTCCTGTAAAATCACACCCAAAGGAAAGTTTCTTTTATTTTTCCTATGGCACAATCCTATGTTCCAAAGGGTGCTACAATAACAAATTCTATTGGACGGAGGATCCTATGTTTTTCCTATGAAAATCCTTTATTCCAAAATTGTCCTTAGTTGAAAGAAGGAACAATCCTTTTATAGCCTCCTTGAATATTGGGTTTACTCAAGGTTTTCTCTCCAAACTCTAAAACTAGGTAACTTGCCTCCCTCAACTGTTAAAATCATTTAAATTATCTCCCTACCTACCTGAGTTAGAAAGTGGCATTTAATGGTTTAAATTATCTTAAAACAATTGATGCTTTTTACTAAATCTTGTCCAATTATACTGTTGCAGGAGGCTCTAATTTGTCATTTTGTTCCTGGCGCTTTGTTTAATAGTTCCAAGACCAAGGAGGGAAGACTGTGAGGGCCATGTAGGAAATTTTCTCTAGCTTCTGTATGACTTACAGAATAATACTACATCGACAAGATTCTTTTAAAAAAAATATATCTAGAATAACCTAGCTAAAATGTACATCGGTAGGGATAGGTGTTTTTTTATTAATTTTATTTCCATAATAATATCCTAAACGTGCATCTGTAATCGGTACCTTGTTGTTGGGTGTTTGGTTTGAAAATTTGGGTAGTTCATCATCTTATCTCATATCTTTTTTTTTTTTTTGGGGGATAAAATGTGTTCTTCAGTTGCTACATTATCTTCTACAAGTTAATAATTAGTATAAGCATTAGAAATGAAGTCATTCCATTAAATTTTCATAGATGGACTCATGACACACCATCTTCATCTAGAATGAGATGGTTCATCAGACCAAACACCACATAATTCGTGCAATGACACTGAAATTAACTCTAGAATGGACTCTCCATACCGTTAGAGGAGATGTTCTCAAGTTGTACACAATTAGAAATCGATAAGTATTGCGTTTTATGCTTTTTTTAATTCTTGATTTGACGTGTAATATTTCTCACAACCGAAACAACATTACTAGCAAGTTGCCTGTCCGAAAATACCAGCAAAACAACACTGGCAACAACTAGCAGTACATACCAAATCATCATCCCTTTTGTGTTGGAATGCAGTTGCGATCTCCGTCCCGATTTCATCGCTCGTTTTTGCAATCGAGGAAACGCCGAGGCACACAATGACACAAGTGACACGGTATATGACACTTGCTCTCGGACCGGCGTCAAGAGCCGTGATTCCCCAGGAATTTATCTGTTGCCCTAGCTTTGCGCTATCCACAGACAACAATTCAGGCGCGCGTCTGCCGCGCGCAAAACAGTCGTCTCCTCTCTAACGCGAGACGGCAATTCCCAAGCAACCAGTACACGTCCGTATCGTAAACTCAGTCCGGTCCTTGCAAACATCTCCCAACATTGGCACGGCTCCGAATCTCCGTGCCTTGGCCAGAACAATGCCGTCCGTCTGCGGCTTTCCTTGACAGCGACAAGAACGCTAATCTAACGCATATGGAACCTTTAATAATGGAGCATACGAGCACGTAGGTCTTATAAAAAGTCCATGCACGCTCACACACTAGCTCACAGCAAGCCAGCCATGGGAAGCTTCAACCTCCCGTTGCTCCCCATCCTTCTCCTTGCAGTCGTCGCCGCCGTGACCGGCGATGAGCTCCGTACGTTCATCGTTCACGTGCAGCCGCACGAGAGCCACGTGTTCGGCACGACCGACGACCGAACAACTTGGTACAAGACGTTCCTTCCAGAGGACGAGCGGCTCGTCCACTCGTACCACCACGTCGCGAGCGGCTTCGCCGCTCGGCTGACGGAGCAGGAACTCGACGCGCTGTCCGCCATGCCCGGGTTCGTCACGGCGGTGCCGAACCATGTGTACCGGCTGCTGACGACACACACGCCGCAGTTCCTTGGACTGGAGCTGCCGCAGAGGGGGAGGAACTACACCTCCGAGTTCGGCGAGGGCGTCATCATCGGCGTGCTCGACAGCGGCGTCTATCCCTTCCACCCCTCCTTCAGCGGCTACGGCATGCCGCCGCCGCCGGCCAAGTGGAAGGGCCGCTGCGACTTCAACGCCTCGGCGTGCAACAACAAGCTCATCGGCGCACGTTCTTTCGAGTCGGACCCGTCCCCGCTCGACCAGGACGGGCACGGCACGCACACGTCGAGCACCGCGGCGGGAGCCGTCGTGCCGGGCGCACAGGTGCTCGGCCAGGCCGCCGGCACTGCCTCCGGCATGGCGCCACGCGCGCACGTCGCCATGTACAAGGTGTGTGGCAACGAGTGCACCAGTGCCGACATCCTCGCCGGCATCGACGCGGCCGTCGGTGATGGCTGTGACGTTATCTCCATGTCCCTTGGCGGGCCGACGCTGCCGTTCTACGAAGACAACCTCGCCATTGGCACATTTGCGGCCGTTGAGAAGGGCGTCTTTGTCAGCTTGGCGGCTGGCAACGACGGCCCAACGGATAGCACGCTGTCCAACGACGCGCCGTGGATGCTCACCGTCGCGGCGGGCACCATGGACCGTCTGATCGCTGCCCAGGTGCGCCTCGGAAACGGCTCGACGTTCGATGGCGAGTCGGCTTTCCAGCCCAACATCTCGACGACCGTCACCTACCCGTTGGTCTACGCGGGCGCCAGCTCAACACCCAACGCCAGTTTCTGCGGCAACGGTTCACTGGACGGCTTCGATGTCAAAGGCAAGATCGTGCTCTGCGACCGTGGCATCGTCGCAAGGCTTGCCAAAGGTGCCGAGGTGAAGAGAGCCGGTGGGTTCGGCATGATTATGGCGAACCAGTTCGCCGACGGATACAGCACCCTCGCCGACGCGCACGTGCTCCCTGCCTCGCACGTCAGCTACGTCGCCGGCGTTGCCATCAAGGAGTACATCAACTCCACGGCGAACCCGGTGGCGCAGATCATCTTCAAGGGCACCGTGCTTGGCACGTCGCCGGCACCGGCTATCACCTCGTTCTCCTCGCGCGGGCCCAGCATCCAGAACCCCGGCATCCTGAAGCCTGACATCACTGGCCCCGGCGTGAGCGTGCTCGCGGCGTGGCCATTCCGGGTTGGCCCTCCGTCCACAGAGCCGACGTTCAACTTGGAATCCGGCACGTCCATGTCCACGCCGCACCTCAGCGGCATCGCCGCGCTGATCAAGAGTAAGTACCCGGACTGGTCGCCGTCAGCGATCAAGTCCGCCATCATGACGACCGCTGACCCCGACGACAGATCGGGGAAACCAATAGTGGACGAGCAGTACGTGCCGGCCAACTTGTTCGCCACAGGCGCCGGCCAGGTGAACCCCGACAAGGCCCTCGATCCTGGCCTCGTCTACGACATCGCGCCCGCCGAGTACATCGGCTTCCTCTGCGGCATGTACACGAGCAAGGAGGTGTCCGTGATCGCGCGCCGCTCGATCGACTGCTCGACCATCACGGTGATCCCGGACCGCATGCTCAACTACCCATCCATCACGGTCATGCTCCCGTCCACGACGAACCCCACGGCTCCGGTCGTGGTGAGCCGCACGGTGAAGAATGTCGGGAGGCGCCGGCGGTGTACTACCCGCACGTCGACCTGCCAGCCTCTGTGCAGGTGAAGGTCACTCCGAGCTCGCTGCAGTTCACCGAGGCGAACCAGGCCCAGAACTTCACGGTCTCCGTGTGGCGGGGCAGAGCACTGACGCCAAGATTGTGGAGGGCTCGCTCCGGTGGGTGTCTGACAAGCACACCGTGAGGAGCCCCGTCTCCATCTCCTTCGCCTGATAGACTTGACAACTACTCCTGGGTTTAGTCCCGTTTCGTCCAGCTTGCCTTTGGCTCTTATCCTGTTTTATTTTCGCCGTACGTATTTGTATTTGACTCTTCAATTTAATTTAAATCTTCAGTAGGGGCATCTTGCCCTTCATATATTAGCCATGAACCAGATTACAATCCATTTCTACGATCTCCCTAAGCCCTGGTGGGATTATAAGCCACTCCTCCACCCGGTTTTCATGAGAAACTAGACGAGCACATTCATGAGCTAATCTATTACAATCTCTACTAATGAACGATAAATCAAAAGATTCGAAGCTCCGGCTGATGTCTTCCATCTGCTTCAGCAAGTAATCGACTTCCGATTTTTGGTTTGCTCGGTTAGTCCACAGCCGGACCAGCACCTGGCAGTCAGACTCCATCTTCAGCCTCCGCGCTCCCCTCTCCAATGCATATAGCAGGCCATCCCGGCATGCCACAACTTCCGCAGTTAAAGCATTGAGGCAATGTTCATACCAACTCGCTCTGCCTCCACATGTTCTTCCTTCATGATCTCGCAGAACCACTCCTGACGACGCCGTCCCATTCTCAGCATGGAAAGCAGCATAGACATTGCACTTAATCCACTCTCGCTCCGGTGCTTGACAGGACCTTTGATTGCTCACCGGAGCTGTTGGGACTTTGATCGGATGGGCAAACTGCCAGAGGTCAAATGCAGTGTCAATTGCCCACCTAGTAGCTACCTTCACGGGCACTCCTTCCACTACTGGAGGCGCATGCTTCGCCGAGGGCCGGCCCAGAAACCCTCGGCAAAGGCTTTGCCGAGACCCCTTCGCCGTCTAAAAATTTCCCGAGGGGTCTTTGCCGAGAGCAACCCTCGGCAAAGAAAAGAGGCCGTCATCGCCGACGCGCCGTTAGGCGGTTTCTTTGCCGAGGCCCACCTCGGCAAAGAAATGGTTTTTTTTGAATTTGTTTGCGAGGCGATCCTCGGCAAATAAATTTTTTATTTTTTTAAAAAAAAACCTTTGCCGAGGCCTCCTCCTGGCCCTCGGCAAAGAAATTTTCAGATTTTTAAAATTCTTTGCCGAGGGCGCCCTCGGCAAAGAAATGGTTTTTTTGAATTTTTTTAACCCTTTGCCGAGGGCCTGCTTCCTGGCCCTCGGCAAAGAAATTGTCAGGATTTTTTTCCAAAAAAATCTTTGCCGAGGGCTATTGCTTGGGCCCTCGGCAAAGGACCCTTGTTTGCCGAGGGCCTTGGTCATTGCCCTCGGCAAAGAGGCAGAAATTTAATTTTTTTTTTTTTTGCATTCCATCGTCACAAGCATTTCATATATATACATATATATATCACACGGAACCCATTTTCTCACAATATATCACAACCATAATTGTGAACCACAAATCACAATATATTACAACGACAAGTCACATGTTCATCATCATTCACATGTTTATTACGACAAGTTAATGAAATCCAAGCACAAGTCACAACCATAAATCACAAATCACGCTAAAGTCCAACCACATCACCTAGCACGAGTCCTCATCAAGCTAGCCTATGAGACGATGGTGAAGGAAAAACAGGATCACCCGGTGACGCACTAGCGGGTTGATTGGAACCCTCGGACGGAAGCTGCACAAAGGAGCAGAGATTGCATGTGTGAGTAATCCG